CGTAAGTTCATGACCCGTGAGCTGCCCCGTTTCTCATGCAGTAGCTCCATCTGCTGTCCAAACGCAAAGGTGGACTTTGCACCGGGCTACTTTTACAGAATAAAAAAAACCAAAACGACTTGAATATTTCGAAACATTTCTAGAAAAATTCCAAACGTTTCCCTAGTCAGTCCTCCCGCATGAATGGAACCAGCCTTTACCTACCTTTATAAACCAACTATCCACAACGAAAACACCAGAGTCTCAGAACCAGTCTTGTGACAAAAAAGAATGGTTCTTCACCATCTGCTGCCACCCAGTGCCATGCTGTCCAAAGGTGCCACACTACCAGACCGCACTGGTGGTGCACCAAGACTCACTGCACACACAATGAACATGCCCAGGTGTCCAGAAACTACAAGAAGTTTACAGTGATTCTTAGTTACTTACAAGAGGTTTATTTGAATGCCACAAACATAAATTTAAGCGTATTCTGAAGATCAACTCAGTTCTTAAAAACAAGACTTCTGTTTCTTTTCTGCCATACAGGGGTCAAATTTTCCATAACAGAACAATTGTGGCAAGACCCAGAGCTTGCAAATTTTACCAGACCTGCTCTGAATCTTGTACAGGTTAGTGATTCTTGGTTTGTTTACAAATGTTCTGGCTTAACAACAGTCTCTTAGCTTGGGTGTTGTACCCCCAACTTGGTACTTGCTGTAACTGCTGAGCCCTTCCAGCAATCTCCTTTTCTGGGCAGCATTGCAGGAGCTATTCACTCATCAGGCAGGTCACTGCTGGCCACAGGCACAGCACCCAGCTTCCTGGGAATCACAGGACACACTGCCGGAGTGCCTGAGTCACCTCGGTTATTCATTACACTCGGTATCTCAGCCCTGGCTGCAATACCTCGGCGATTGTGGATCCAAGTCAGTTTATTTTACATCGCTGTGATTAACTTCCTTGTTCCTCAGATTTTAGGGCGTGCTGCTTATTTACATGTTTTTCTCCACTCTTATGGATACCTGTACATTTAAATTATAATAAATGATTTCTAGCACGAGAGTCTCGAAGTTTCACTGCGCAGCCCCGGAGCCCTCCTGGGCCGGTGCCGGCAGCCTGGCACCCCTCCCCAGCAGCAGGCCACAGGCTCCATTTGCAAGGTTAAAGAAAGAACACCTCATACTCTTGTCTCTTGGGGTTTCTGTTATGCCTGTTCATTATTTTAAAAATAGTATCGCAGACTTGTTTCAGGCTAGAGTGACAGCTTTTATGGAAAATCTCTTTTGGAAGGTGCTACTGAGCATTTATGGACGTCTGGAGGAAGAGTTCCTCAATACAAGGCCAATTGTGGATTATAATTATATCCCTCGAGCATAAGGATGACAACAAGTACTTTATAGTAACCCCTGATGAAGTCGGTCTTCCCTCGGAAAGGAGGACGCAGCCCTGTGGCGAGCGCTGCACAGGAAGCCGTGGGCCCACCCGGGCTGGGGGCAGCGCTCAGGCAGCACGCAGGGCCGCCGCGAGACTCGTCTGCGAGGGGCTCGTTACTCGTGTACGACTAAATCTATTCATGCTGCTTAAGAAAAATAAAATTAAAGAAAAAGAAAAAAACAGAAAAGCCGGAGCGTTCGAGGTTAACGCGTGACGGCGCGCGCAGGCTCTATGGACGGTGTACGGAGATTCCAACAGGTGGCTCCGTGGCGCAATGGATAGCGCATTGGACTTCTAGAGGGTTTGAAGGGATTCAAAGGTTCCGGGTTCGAGTCCCGGCGGAGTCGTGTCTTCTCTTTTCCTTTTTGTTTTTATAAATTTCCCCCGCCCCCTGCGCCTTTTGGGCGGAAATCTTTCCCCCGCGCTCCCCTTACCTCACCGCCGCAGGTATCCAGTACGCCGGCCTGGCCCTTCTCCCGTCAGCGAGGCTCTCCGGGCCCGCCTCCCGCCCTGCCTGGCGGTGTGGGGAACGCTGGAAGCGGGCGGCGACAGCCGCCATCGACCGAACCTGCCGTGTCCTCTCGGCCCGATGACACGAAGCTTCCTCGCCGGCAGCGAGGAGGCGGAGCGGCACAAAGGGCTCTGCTCTCCTTCCCCTCCCGGCCCCGCAGCCCTCAGGCAGCGGGAGAAGGGCTCCGCTCCTGCTCCCCCGGCCCTGAGGCAGCGGGAGAAGGGCTCCGCTCCTGCTCTCCCGGCCCATGGCCCCGTGGCAGCGGGAGAAGGGCTCCGCTCCTGCTCCCCCGGCCCGAGCTCCGCCGGAGCGGTCAGAACCGACAACCAGCCCCGTGGGGCCGCTACGCTTCCAGGACTGTCTGCGGAAAGCAATTTTACTTGAAAAACCAAAACTTCGTCTTTCCTGGAGGCACTTCAGTTCCGATGGGTCACCGTGATTGAAATTAACATGTCTGGTTACTTTCAAATAACGCAACAAGCCCACAAACCGCAACTAACACAATATTTTCTGACTTACCGACAGATAGAAGATGAAGAGCCATTTTAAGTATAGCAATCAAATTAGGTGTCAAAACAAAACAGGAGCTGCAATAAACAAAGCACCTTGATTTTGCACAGAATGGAATAAATTAATCTGATTCATTATTCCTGAATTATTAAATTGTGGGGTTTTCTTGATAAATTATTTTTCATCCTGCAGGTGTGACGTTCCAACTGTAATTCTGCTTGTTTAAAAGCAATAACGGAAAATCTGAAAATGTACCACACCATCAGGCACATTAACCATCACAGTCAGGAAAGGCAGAATTACTAATTAGCACAAATATTTCTGCCATTAAATAAAATACTGCTTATAATTGATAGGCAAAGCTTCATGGAAGTTTTTATGTGTTTCCAGAGTAATGTAATAACCACAGGCAATCACACGGTGCACTTGGGTTTTAATCTCCCCAGCACCTTCTCCTTTACGTCAATTTCAAAGCCATCAGTCTGGCAATCACACGGTGCACTTGGGTTTTAATCTCCCAGCACCTTTTCCTTTACTTCAATTTCAAAGCCATCAGTCTACTTTAACATAAAGCGGTGGTTAAGCACAGGTGCTGTGTGCAGTGACAAAGCTGCCCAACTCCACCTGCCAGTGCCACCCTGCACGCGGGGAGCACAGCACAGCTCACCCCTGCACACAACACGGCCACCGGCTGGGCACAGGGTGTGACAAACTGAAGGGATTGGAACAATCAAAGGAGAGGATAGAGAACACAAGACAAATCCCTTCCTAGCTGTGCTGCACATGAAGTAACTGCTGTAGCCTTTGAGCAGCCTGAGCAACAGGCACGGAGTTGTTGCTTGCTGTGTAACACCACAGCTTGCACTTCTCTCAAAGTCTTTCAGACTTGCATGCTGCTTTTCCAAAGTTGCACTCGGAACACCCCAGGATACAACAGAATGACAACTGCTATGCTGCCTTGTTTTCTTCTCAGTGTTCAGTATTAATTTTTTTTGGTGCTTCCATGTCTCAAACAGAGAACAAGACACCACAGTTGTTTTTACTGGCTTTTTTATAATTTACTGGGAATTGAGATATATGATAAAATAAATGCATAAATATCATTGCATTAAAATAGCCTATGCATATTAACTGAGACCTGGGGACGGGTGGTTCTACTTGTACTTGTTTAATATTTCCCAATGAATCCACTTGACTCTGACACCATCCATCTCCAGGCCATGAAGACTTTTGAAGGACTAGATTCCTGTCTGTTTCTGGTAGTAAAACATTATGGACAACATTATGGTTGGAATGATAAAAAAACACCTCAAAGGATCTGAGGAAAATTCTTTCAAGCATCAGTCGATGGTTAATACATACCACAATGCTCATTTCAGCATAAATAACTAATCCTTAAAAAAACTAATTCTCAGTAGAAAACTTGATGGTTAAACATTAGTCAAGAACACAGTGAAGCACTTCTTGCTTAGGATCTGCAACCTTTAAGATGCAGTGTTCTTGTGTAAGGAAACAATCAACCACTGGTCCTCTGATGGTGACTGCTACCTCCTAATCACCCAATCCACCTAAGACAATGTAGTGCCAGCTTAATTTCTTCTATTATCCATCTTTTCTGCTAGCCCAGGGCAGTAACCAATAATGACCAGGTCATTAAAAACCAACCAAACACTGCAGCAGTTCTCACCATCACAAAAGGTCATGAACAGTCACTGAGGGGGAACCGAGGCAATGCCAGCTCTGTGCAATGGCAGCAGAGGCCTTCCAGACTCACTCTATTTGTTCACCTTGAGCTATTCCAGGTCAGCTAACAGACAATCTGCACAACACATCCTACAGAATGGATGCCAATGTTAAGCAATTTCCAAAAATATCATTAGACAATAAATAGTAAAAATAAAAGAACAAAATATGATTGTTAAAATCTGACATATAAGTATTACTTATGTAATAATTAATATGTAATTTGTCTATTCTAAATTATATATATATAAAATAATAATATATACACACATAAATATAAAAGTATATGTGTAGGCACTGAATTCCAGGACATTCTTTATACCATTATGGTCAGTGCTGAAATAAATCCTTCACAACCAAACCATTTTTCAATACCTTCCATTACAGTTTTGGCCAGCAGCACCTCTGACAAGTTGTGGAAAAATATATTCTAGCACACAATATGTGCCAAGATGAATTACACATATAACTTTAAACTGAATTTACTAATTAATTGATGTGAAATCTGAAGCCTAGAAGACCACAATCTGTGAAGCTGAATTTTTTACTCAGATTTAATAATATGCTTTCATATCATTATCTCTTTACATAAAAATTAATATAAATAGCAATTTTAAAATTTAAATTAATCTAAATTGAGATACCTGATAATTTGCTAAAGCTTCCTAGCTTTATTCGTATGGCAAGAATTTCCCTAAACCTCAATTTGCACATGACCTGCAATCTTAAAAGAAACCAAACAAAACACCACAACCAAAGCATTCTGTAAGAAAGTTTTATAACAAACATGTTGTTCCAGCTTGGTATTTTTCTTCAATTCTTAATTGTGAAATTTCTTCTTCTTCCGATTCCTCTTCCCTGCTGCAAAAGCTGCTTTTTCACTCATGATCTCCTGATACTTCTTTTTATTATATCTGAACAAAATAAATAATTTACTTTTAAGCATGGCAAATCAAAGTTCAGGAAAAGATAACATGGACAGTACTCTATGCACGTTATTTGCCAAACTGAGTTTTCTCATCTTTTCTCAGTTTCTTTGATTTATATTTATGCATAAGTAAAGGGGAATCAGCAGTTGGATCAATGATAAATGCAGATAAATTTGCTTTGGAAGTAAATTCTATTGAATTTTGTAATTAATTCTGGTTGGTGGGGGGGGGGGAATCTTCATTACATATGCAGTCACAATTTGGACACTTGGCTGAAACACTGCTACTGCTCACAAGGGGAAGACTCAACCATTTCCACAATACCATGAAGAAACTACACCCACTTTTACAGTGCCTTCTCACCATACTCAGGATAATAAACCTTACTCTACTGCAGACAGAAAACTGAGAAGAGGTGAATACTAAACAAGGAGCAGGGTAATTGCTGAATGTGAGCTGCTAGCTCCTCTGTTATAACAGACTCTTGTGTACCTGCTCAATACTGAGTACCACAGACACTGCAGACTGAGTAGTGCTGAGGCTTTAAATGCAACACCAAAATCTGACAAATATCTGCACTAATGCTGAAGTATATGATTAAAGCCCTTAATGAGGCACAACATAAATTAACTGATTAAATTTCAAATATATCAATTTTTAAAAAGACTTTATAATAAATATCTAATAAATCAAGTCAAACCAGAAAACTACTTAAGACATAGATACAGTAACTTGCCTTCCCAACATTATATTTACAAGTCTGACAAAATTAACTCTGTAATCCCAAATCATACACCACTTCAAAGAAAACACGTCATTATGTGAAAAGAGAAGTGAATATTAACACCATGTAATAACCAATACCAAAATGGACCAACTTAATTATCTACTCCAAAATCTGTAAGCTATGCAGACATTAATTAATTCAATCATAATGTTCAAGTAAGTCTTCTAGCACAATTTTGATTCCCATGACAGGTGGGGAATAAATATATGTATTTATAAAATGAAATAATATCAGCATTCACATAATTATAGGCTGCTCTTTTCTGTCAATTATGCCATGAAAAAATAATTAGTCTTTAAGAGTGGCTGCCAATAGTGATGGCCGAAGTTGGATAAAACCCTTTAATGAAGCTGAAATATACATTATCTCAGTCTAATTATCCCCTTAGATAAAGTTTCCTTAGACCTTATAAATGCCAGTACTATGGAAAAGCTAGAAGACTATAAATTTTTCTTTGAAGTATAAAAAGCCACCCTGCAAGCTGAATAAAACAAAAAAAAGGCTACAGAGTTAAAAATACTCCTCTTTAACATGGGATATTAGAATTACAGAACTACTTTTAAATACCTTCTGAACTCAGAATCTGCAAGCAGCTCCTCCACAATTGTTCTCTTCCTCTGCTTCTTAGGGATTCGACTGTGGTAAAAGTCTATGGGAGAATCAACTACAGTTCCAACCTAGGAAACAAAAATGAAAACATTCTTACTGTACATGAACAGCAAGATGTTGATCATTTTGCCCTTTTTTTTTTTTTTTATCCCCAGCAACAAGTGTGAAGACACCTACTGAGCAGATGAGAATGACAGCTGCTTAACAACAATACAAAACCCAAAAATAAGTAAGTCAGGTTTTGTATGCAGAGTCCCTTTTGGTCTCCTTGCATAGTGCAGAGAGGAAGGCCTGAGCTTTAAGACTGTACAGTTTTCAGTGCTGGACTGCTGTATCAACACTTTAATTCATTAAAGTTCTTAACTTCTGAATATTTTAAACATAAGGGAAAAGAAACCTTTATGACCACCTGGTGGTCTCGCATCCTGGTGGTTTTGCTAGAGGACTACACAGCACCTACATCAGGGCTACACAGCTCCAATACAAGGGCTTCATCCTGAAACACATCACTTTTTTCCCAGCCAACATGTCAGTCAGCTCTCACGGTTCAGGTCAGCAGTAAAGATACACACAGCACATGTTTCATGCAGTGAAAATTAACCTGTGTGGGTCTAATTATGTGGAACACTTCAGTCTAAGTTCCTCTAATTTCAAAACATAAAACACCCTCGACACTTCAGAGTGAAGTAGTAATATTTTGAGAAATGAAAACATTTCCTCAAGCATGCTAACTACTCAAAGTTTCTGGAGGCCTATTTCTACAGCTTCCAGAGTAATTTCTTTATTGATACAAATAATTTCAAAGCTGAGAGGTACAAGCAGCAAAAATTTCAGCTTATCACAAAGGTAGCTGTCTCCATTTAAACTGTATTATCTAGTAAGAAAATAAAAGCCAATTATTTTCTACACACTTGTTTACAAAGGCCAGTACTCCAAAGAAGCAGTGAAAATCTAGTCCTCTGAGGGTTCAAAATATGGATTCAGTAAGATATTTGTTCACTTTTATGAGATCAGCCAAAGCTAAAAACATCAACAGCATATATACATACGTAACACAAAGTTAAATAGTTGCAAACTCCAGCTAAGTAATCAAAACACTTTAATAATTAAGATATGAAATTAATTTAACATAGAAGCTACCTACAAAGTAGGCATTATTAGGTGTGCTTAAACAGCTGTTCAAAACTTCAGCAGTACAATGCCACCTTCAGCTGCTTCCTTACCTGGAAGTACTTGGGGAGACCATCTCTGTCATTCTTCTTATAGAAATGCTTAGGGTCCAATGAAGCTCTCATCTTCAAAACTTTAAGATCATTTTTCAGTTCACTTGTCATTTCTGGGGCTTTCATACCAAACCAGCCATCACCTGTTGTTTTCTCTCGCTCTGCCTAGGATGCAATACCAAGAACAATGAATTTGCATTCAGTAACTAGGACAGGACAGAAAAGGGAATTCCTCCCCACAAAAGACAGATAAAGCATTCAGAATGTAACCCCTAAAACACGTATTTTATGACTATTATAAAGGAGGTTATCAGCACTGCCTCAATGACAGATTTGTACTGAGCATATAACCATTCACTTCACTATGTTTGTGACTGAAAGGATGACTTTTCACAGGACAGCTCAATGAAGACACTAAACTGCAGTTCATCACTTCATTTCCAGTGAGGTCCTGATACACACAGAGTCCCAGCATGCAGCTTTCTACCACAGCTTGTTTCATTATTTGAGGCATTACCAGCTCTTCACTTACCCTGCGCTGCTTCTTTAGCTGGTGAAGTGATTCCCTGTAGGGTGGGACACATTCCTTTCTTTCAAAGTCTGGAGTTATTATACTGTTCTGCAAGAGCTGTAAGAATTTTTTTGAACATTAGAGAGCCACCTCACTGACACAAATTTTACAGCTTAACTGTATTTACAGAACCTACTGAAGGTATCACGCAGAATCTAAGCAAGCACTCTAATGCAATACACGAGCAGTAAGGATCTTCAAAACAGAACACTGGACAAAAGCAGAAAGCAGCTGACCTGCCCTGGAGGAAGAGAGACAGCAGATCCCCTGGAATAAAGAGGGCTATCGTGGATGAGCCAAAGAAAAGCCTCAACAAAAATAACACACACCCTTTCCTTCAAAGGGTGTTTTTGAAAAAAAACCTGATAAGTTCACATTAGGGTACAGACTTTTGCTTACTGAAATTCATTCTGGCTATGGACTAAATATCTTGTCAGCAGACCCTAAGCTTGTTTATCATTAGGCATAACTCCAGGTATAATCAACTTTAGTTTATTTTACAAGATAATCTTAGAATTTGCTCAGCTTTTCAGTTTCTGAAAACTGAGGTATATTTAAACTTTCACCATTAAAACCAAATGTAAAACCACACTCTGGTCAAAAAGAATGTAAGTCCTCAATGAATCATGAAAAGTATACTCTTGAAAATCAAATAAACCAACCTCCTTAGACTAACATCTCTGTGTTACCATAGTCACAGATAACTGAGTAATTGTAAACTCGTTACCTGGTCCTTCTTCTTCATCTTCTCCTTCAGTGGTTCAATTATACTTGATCCAGGCTTCTGATTTTTTGCATCAAAACTGATATATAAACCTCCAAGCTTCTTGATATTCAAACCAGGGTCTATGCTACTGGAAAGATGTAAACTAAAGGAGAAATAGTTAATTATTAGAACATTGTAACATGCATGCGGCTAAACCTTCTACTGTCCTCTGAGGAAAATGAATAGAAAAAATATTTTTCTTATTCTTCCCAATTAGGTTCAGTTCTGCAATGATTTTAAGTCTTGTTATCTAGATTATGTCATTTTGAAATGACAGGTGAGGGGGAATTCATGCCATAATATGAAATAAGACTTATTATTAAAAAATACCTGTGGCATCACTTCCAGAAATTTTTCACATTAAGTCTAATGCTGGGCTCTCAACTTAGATAATTGTATTCTTAAATTTGCTTAACCTTGCCAGAAGAACTCATGACTAGCATCCTTCTATACACTGACAAGCTTGCTAGCTAAAGAGAAAAACCCCAAACAGATTGGTAGTAAAAATACTATGACTCTTAATAAGAAGTATGAAGAAAACAGAATTCATTGTAGGAATATTTAAGTCCTTGCTGCATAACCATACCAGGAACAAAGTCATTAAACTTGGTTGGATGGTTGCATCCAGGGGTCATGGTCAATGGCTCAGAGCCCTGACGGTTCTATGAAATTTCAAGGTTAGTATATTCACATTTGTTTCACTGCTTCATTCAGGCAGACTGTGGAATGTATCAACAAACAACATACCATGGCTGGTTTTGATGACAATATTTAAAAGCTCTAAACTACAATGCAGAAAAGATGGTAATATCTAAAGAGGTACATCAGGTATTTCCCATAGCTTGAATACTTATTAATACAAGCCCTTTAACAACTTTCTATCAAACTGTGGCTGATCTTGTATAATGCCTTCACAATGAATGCCTGGCTAAGCTTTCTCAGCTAAGACTTCTGGTCTACCTGAAGGTTTTTACTAGATTAAGACTTATTTATCTAACCTAAACAAGTATTATGCTTTAAACATAAGAAGGGAGTAGCAGCAGCTGTACTACAAGAATTCCACCTAAATTATTCTGATTCCACGCTAGGTTTCACCTGAAGAGTCACCATACACAGCACAGCAACAACTGACACATAAAATTATATGCAACTGTTTAAAAAGCGTTATCTAATCAGGCAACATGTAAGGAATTTACTGGACTTTTGTTATCTACATTCCAACTGGAAAAAAAACCAACAAAACTGTGACCTGAATAACCCAGTTCAGTCAGCCTGACCAGATTCACACTGTTTTTCAAGCTGAACACATACAAGCCCTCTAGATGCCAAAAAAATTTCAGAGTTCTGTTCCTACTATATTCAAAACTGAAAAAAATCCCGAAACCCAAATTTATGGACCATATTAATATTTTATAATATGTGCAACACCATTTTCTGCAGCAACATGACATACGTGGCAAGACTAGTCCCTTATTTATTTTACACTTAATGTGCACATTCTTAAATGAAATGCAGATTCTTTAACTAGTCCTAGCAAGATACTTACACGTCAACCTTATTTTTCAACAGATCATCATCTTCATCTTTTTCATCTTCATCTATTAATTCCTCTTCATCCTCTTCCAAGTCTGATTCTTCATCTTTTTCACCTCCTTCATCCTTACTTTTAGCATCACTGTCTTGGTCTACATCATCCAGATAATACTTTTGGCTGGAACTCATGCCAGGCTCAGTATCAATTACAAAAAGACCTTCAACATGCAGTGAACCACTTTTTAAAGATTTTTTGGGGGAAGGAGTTTTCTCGTCTGACTTTTTATAACACAGATTCTCATCAACTGTATCTATGTCTGCCACATCACTATTTTCAGAGTCATCACTTTCACTGTTGCTCAGAAACAATGCAAGAGAGTTATTATCACCACTTGGTTTTTCACTGCTGTGGGACACCTCAAAGTCTTCTGTTTGGTTGTCACCACTGTCTCCAACAATTTTGAGCATCCTGCTCTTACCAGTACTTTCAGTTGTCTGTGCAACAGCCATGTCCATGGATGGGCTGCTCACTGCACTAGCTTGCTTACTTTTCCTTAATTTATCATCACACGAGAAAGACTGCTGTGCATCTGCCTCAGCATCTGCTCTTTCACATTCTGTGATTTTTTCACTTTCATTTGGTGTTACTTGTCCTTGGGATTCTAGAAATTGTTTGGGACTCATGCAGTCAGTCAAAGAAATAGACACATGCTCTAATTTCCCCTTTCCTGCAAGTATGTTACTGTGATCTTCTTGTATTTGGCCAGATATTGCTTCTGAATGGTCTATCCCAACAGACAGGGTATTTTTTTTTGTTTTTTTCACAGGTGATTTAGTGTCACTTTGTTTTGTTTTTGTAAGACTGCATGCCACATCATTTAAAATCTCTTCTTTTGTGTCTTCACTCCAGGCTGCACTAGCACATTTGCTTTTGGGTGAACTGGGTTCTTTATTACCATCAATGAGGGTGGAAGCATTTTCTTCCGTGTCATTGACAAGTTCTGCAGTAGGCCTAGAATCAGGACTTATGATGGGATCAGAATCAGGAATTACGATGGGATCAGAATCAGGAATTATGATGGGATCAGATTTAACAGTGTCCTCAATTAAATTCTCATCTTGTGAAACAAATACTTTTTTTTTCTGAGTCTGCTTAGTATTTTCTGCTTGTGATTTCATTTGCATGCTCCTAGTAACTCGTTTTGGAGTGACATATGGTTCCACGAGAGAACTTGGGCAACGTGATTCCGCATCAGAAGTATCCTCACTCTGGGCTTCACGACCTCTGTGTGGCTGCAATTTCTTTTTACTTTGTCTGCTCCTTGTACTTGTGGGAACATTAAGCATCTGGACACCAGAAACAGCAGAGGAACAAGACTCAGCTTCAGAGACATCATCTTCATCCAGAATCCTACTTAACTTATTTACAAAAGCTGTATTGTCATGTCTTTTTTTGCCAGCAGAATCTGGTTGATAAGGAATTACAATCTGTCGCCTCCGTGTTACTCTTACAAACAAAGGTGTCTGGAGACCAGACACAGAAGAGCAGTTTGATTCTGCTTCTGACACATCCCCGTCAACTTGTGGTTCAGCAACTGATTGTGCTGATGGAACAGTTGTGTTCTCACTCCTAGTGACCTGCATCTCTGAGCTATCACTGACATCTGATTTCATTTCTGCATGTTCCAACTCTTCAAACTGACATTCCTGAATCACCTCTGGCTTACAAACTGATTTAGTTCTTCTAGCCATCCTCCTAGTCACAGGAGTACTAATTTCAGCAGATCCCACCTAGAAAAGGAGTAAAAAAAAAATATGGTATTGACAGACAAAATACTACAGAAAAAGAATTCTATAAGTACTTGTGGGAACATTAAGCATCTGGACACCAGAAACAGCAGAGGAACAAGACTCAGCTTCAGAGACATCATCTTCATCCAGAATCCTACTTAACTTATTTACAAAAGCTGTATTGTCATGTCTTTTTTTGCCAGCAGAATCTGGTTGATAAGGAATTACAATCTGTCGCCTCCGTGTTACTCTTACAAACAAAGGTGTCTGGAGACCAGACACAGAAGAGCAGTTTGATTCTGCTTCTGACACATCCCCGTCAACTTGTGGTTCAGCAACTGATTGTGCTGATGGAACAGTTGTGTTCTCACTCCTAGTGACCTGCATCTCTGAGCTATCACTGACATCTGATTTCATTTCTGCATGTTCCAACTCTTCAAATTGACATTCCTGAATCACCTCTGGCTTACAAACTGATTTAGTTCTTCTAGCCATCCTCCTAGTCACAGGAGTACTAATTTCAGCAGATCCCACCTAGAAAAGGAGTTAAAAAAAAATATGGTATTGACAGATAAAATAACTACAGAAAAAGAATTCTATACAAAAAGCTAACAATCTTTTTAAACAAATTACTTAAACTCACAACACACGTCTCTGTGCAGCCCCATCTACGTGGAAGAAGCCTTAACAAACCATCTCTTGCTTATCTGTCTACTGTATTTTGGTCAGGGCAGGAGAAGAAACACACACAACCTTTAAGAAATATAAACAAGTATCTCCTAATTAAAAAAAGTTCTGCCAAGTTGTCAGGGCAGCAAATCCAAAAAAAAAAAACCCGTTCAGAAATATTCAAAGACTTCTTCAACTATAAACGACTAAACACTATCAACTATCAAAATGCGCCCCCAAATGGTGTCCAAATCCAGTTTTACGTCTACGAACAAACTGACCTCTCAGCAATCGCAAAACCAGGTGTGATCTGCTAAGTATTATTTTAAGTGACAGAGAAACGCTAAAACATCTGTCACGCCAAGTAAAAGAAGCCTACCTTCAGCTGCCAACGCTAAGTGGCCCAGTGCCCTCCGGCGGCGCTCCCGCCCCGCAGGGCCGGCTGCGGCTCGGCCACGGCCGCACCAGCCGCGCCTCTCGGGGCTGCGGGCCGCGCACCCGCACC